TTAATTCAAGTTTCCAACTTTGATGTTTTACTCAGTTTCACAGTTTCATTGATACACAAAGAGATTTGAAATTCAAGTCAAAGAAGTTAAACATCCTTTATACCTTTTAGAAATCAAATGTTTTGTAAATGTTTCTACAATACAATGAAGGCATTTTCAAATTTGGACCAAAGTTTCTACATTTTGATAAATTCATAAATTGAAGCAGTTTTAGATCATCTTCTTTTTATGAAGGAATTCTTACAAGGCCACCTGAAAGCAGTAATGCTTTTATTCTGAAATACATAATCTAAACTTCACTTCTCCACCAAGGCCACAGAAAGAAAAAAAAAAAAGCTTTCTGGCATATTTGGCTCTTTTGTAAATTTAAATTCAGTTTTACAACGAGCCAAAAACCAGTAGCAACAATTCTCAGAAATGATATTTTACTTTAGAGCAGCCTTTGACTCCTTTGAGTCAGTTTTAGTCAAAGATCAGAACCAGGTAGAAGGTGTCAAACCTTAAACGTATCCTAATCCACTCCAATTTAACTTAATCAATTTGTGAATCAATGAAGTTAATTGCTTCATTAATCATTAAACGCTGCATTAATTGTTAATTGCTTTGCTTAATCACTCGTCAATTTGTCCATCTATGCTGTTTAATAACTTTATCTAATGGAAGCATATAAAGAGTATTTGTCCAAGCAATGAACCCTGAGGAACTCCATGACTAACTTCAGTGTATGAAGATTTATTATTTACATTTACAAATTGGAATCTATCAGATAAATATGATTGAAACCAATTTAGAGCCTTTCCTGTAATCCCAGTATCATATTCAAGCCTCTGTAGTTGAGCTGGTGTATCCAGACGTGGTCAAAAAAAATGTTAGAAACACACGTAGCATTTTTTTTTCCACGTTGAATGCCAAATTGCAACGAATTCCTTCAAACTGTCCTTCAAGCCAACCAGGTCAGGCTGGTTGTTCTGGAGAAAGGAATGCAGATAGTCTTAAGTAAGGAAAGTGGAGCGTCCTGTCATTTAGTTTCTGTTGAAGCGGCAACACGTAGTTTTGAATTCTAGATACAAACATGGGATGGGAAGCCAATCCATAGATTTCTTAAATCGTGTCCTGATAGGACAAGATGTGATCTTTTTTTTTAATCCCACTATCCACCCTCATGGCATTTTCCCCTTTTCTATCTCCAAGTATTCTGATAAAGGAGCCGCGCTGTGATAGCAGCAGCAACGTGCACTCTGCCCATCTTTTGGACGACTGTACGAACATAATTTCACTGTATCCCGGTACAATGATAATGAATCTGATTTTGATTCTGATGTTGTTTTCCATTAGAGATGGGATGCAACAGAAATGAGGAGGAATAGATTAAGCATGGGGAGTATAGTGGAGGTAGGAGCTGAAGATATGGATAAAATATTGCATCACAATCAGGATTTTTACACTGATTATTAGCAAATGGTTTTTATAATTTTGCATCTTACAAAATGGTTCAACCAAATACATTTCTCTGTTTTATAAAGAAAAACACAGATATACAGGGACATTTAAAACATTTCAAATCAATATATCCGCTTTATCTTGCACTCAGTGCAGATTTAACAATATGTCGTCAACATCAATAGAATTTTTAATTAGGATGGTATTTAAAAAAAAGTTTTCTTCCTTCGGCTGCTCTTTTCTTCAGGGGTTGCCACAGCGAACTAACTCGCACGAAGACTTGGCGATTGTTTTTCCACCGGATGTCCTACCTGACACAACCACAGACCACCGAGCTACCACAGCCCTCTGTGCTAGACATGTTAGCTTAGCATGTAACTTAACATGTTATACACGTTAGCTTAACATGTTATACATGTTAGCAGAAATATGCAAAACAAACATATGTTTGTGTTTCTAAGTCTTTAAGGTTCAGTCTAGTTATGGAAACACAGTGACTTAAAAAATGTTTTAAAAAAAGTTTAGCGTAAGATGTTCAATTAAAATTTCCCTAAATCTTGTTTATTTATATATATATATATATATATATATATATATATATATATATATATATAGATATATATATATATATATAATTTTTTTTTTTTAATAAATCTTTTTGTAAGTTTTTTTATTTTATTTTTTAACTAAGGATATTTGGGTCCTGATGGAGATTGTCCAAGGGCCACTTTTGGCCCTCAGGCCTTTAAGCTGTCCACGTCTGCTCTTGAGGACTCGCGCCTGTGAGTCTCAGCCAGTCGGTGTTTTCATGGAGACTCAATGTTTTCCTTCAGGTGTTAAGAGGAAGAAAAAACGCCTCACACTTTCACCGACGAGGTTAAAATGTGTCCAAAATGTTGTCTGCTGCCTTCCATGCTTCACTTGCAAGTGTGTGTATACTGTTGGGTGTAATTGTGTTAAAATTAGCCAGACACACACACACAGACTGAGTTCACACTGCGGGCCTGTTCAGGCTGTGGCGAGGGACATTACATGGGAAGTGTGAACAGTAGAAGACCAGACAAAATGACATGTGTTCGCCCGAGGGGCTGGCTCTGTAATTGTGTGTGTTCTTCTGCGTTTGTGCGCTCATGTTTGTGTGTGTGAGTGTGGCGGTTACTGCGCCAGCCCTGCTGTTTACTGTGGGGGATTTTAGAAGAATTGCAGGCAGCTGGCAAGCCCCTCCAGTTTCTCTTTTTCCCTCCAAAATCAGCTTGTAGCTTGTGTGTAGTAGTTCTCAGTTTGTCTGTCCTTCGTTTTCCCGCTCCACTTATGTGGACGCACCACAACGCCTTTAACAAAACAGGCAATTTCCTTCATGAAAAGGAGCAATAATTTGCGTAGATCAGCTGGAATACAGGCTGAAGACGTGTTGCACTAAAAGCCACTCAAAGTAAAATGTATATAAACGCGGAGAAAAGATGGGAGGAGGGTTGAAGATTGACTTCACACCTATAACCCCAGCTGAAAATCAAAAGGTGAAAGCGAAATCCAGCTGTTTGCTGAGCAGCTGGACGATCAGATAATCAGTTCTTCTGGGATTCAGGATGTTTTCTCAGCAAAGCGTTTCTTGTTTAACCACAAACTGTAAAGTCAAACAGTGTTCAGCTGAAAATCAACGCCATGGTAAAGTTTCTGTCCTTTGAATTTCATAAATTATGTAAATGTTTACTTTTCAAAATGTCTTGGCATTGATTTATGTGTATACATGTTAGTTTGTCTGAAGCGTTAGCAAAATATCTCATGAACTTCTGGATAGATTTTAATAAAACTCTCTAAAGGAATCATCGGATGAACATCTGCAATTAATTACTTCAATAATTCAGCCCAATTCAAGATGGCTGCCACAGTAATCAACCTTAGCAGACACATAAATGGCTGTAACACTCAGTTTTACAGACACTGAGCTTAAATTTGTTGTGGTAGTAGTTGAGTCATCCACAACACATTCTGAGGTTTTGTTAAGCCTCACAATATTTCATGTGATTGTGTCAGAAACTACGGTAGAGATGCAAAAAATATTGCTATAAAATATTGTGATATAAACAATTTTTTACAAGTCTTTTAAAAACGCATCACGCCAGAACAAACTGCAAAAATCTAACACAATAAAATAAATAAATGTGACGTTAGACAAAACCAAAAATACAGCAATATTTCTGCAGACTGAAACAAAACGGAGCACTGTTGATGTATTTCAAGGAACATGATGAACATCCACCCTCCCTCCTTCTACCCACCAGCCCCCGCTCCAAACACAACACTTTAAAATCATTGTTGTCTCACAGCGTCTTATTTTGTCCTTTGAGGCCGTTTCATACTCCATCCAAAGCCGAACAGTCTGCTCACAGTCACAATGTTCTAAACCAGGGCTTTTCAACTGGTGGCTCGCGGTCCACTTCCGGCCTGCAGGCTACTTCAGTTCCGCCCACCAATGAGTTCATAAAACAAAAACAAAAAAATCTTTTTTTGAAGGGGTTCTGAGTTTGGGTTTTGAGTTCTATTTTGTTTTATAAATGGAAAAAAAATGACATTTGCATTAATTATTTGAGTTACAGTAGTCCCTCGATTATTGCAGGGATTATGTTCCAGACACCCCCACAATAAGTCAAAAACCGTGAGGTAGAAACGCCATATTTAGTTATTTATTTATATCTCAAGGCTTTAAAAACCCTTCCCACACTCTTGCAATGTTCTAAACTCCTAAATCTATGTAATTTTAACAACATGTGTTTATGTACTGCACAGTAGCTACTGCAAAATTTTATATGGGTACTCACTCACCAGCCTTGGTCCAGTTCTGGTCAGGTTCTAGTCAGCTCTCTGCAGCCGTTGAGCACCAGATGCTTTTGCAGAGATCCGGACCTTTGGAGAGCCAGCAAAAAAAAAAAACACACAATGGTCCAGATCGAGTCCAAATAATCCAGAGAAATGTGATAGGAAATAAGTCCGAGTGAGCTCCGGAGAAGACACCGGACCTCCAAGCAACGCCTCCCCGCTCGAGAGGCTTCATGGGCCGACAAGCAGCACTCAGGTTGACCGATGAGGCTGGAAGTAGTTCTGGTCCGGTTCTGATTGGCTGTCTGCATCCACTGAGCGGCAAAGTCTCTATGAATAAGGACCAAACTTTTTAGTCAGGTTCAAATCGGATCAAAACTTTCCCTCCATATCGGCAGAAAGCAGCGGCCAGAAGCACTGTTGGCTTTTGTGTAATGTAGTTCCTTTGGACTGGCGATACAGTGTATGCTTATTGAAAGAAAACTACAAAATGGCAGCGCCTGTCCAAAGTTTTTTTTTTTTCCATCAACTTTTTGTCTGTACCATCTCAATCACATGAGTAATTATATTTGGCAATCATTGAAAACCTGCAAAAGAGTGAGTCCACGAAAGTCGAACCGCGACGTAGCGAGGGACGACTGTATTCCCTTTTAAATAATCCCTCAAATATTTGATGTTTATCGCCGCTCATCTCTAGTCAGTAACTTTGTGATTTTGACCACAGTTTTTGTTTTTTCTTACAGGTTTTCACCCGACACTGGATTCTTCTTCTTCTTCTGATTTTCCTTATCGCTCCTGGTGGTCTCCACGTCCAGTTGCCCTTACTGCACCATCAGCTTTCACCTTCTCCCCTTTTGGAGTTATTTATTACCATTGTTGTTCGTTTGAGCTTGAATTTCTCGCCACAACCGCACCGTCTGCGGCTTATCGGCTGGGCAGAGTTAGCAGCCAGCATGGATCGCAGCAGCTGGAGTGGCAGTGAGAGTCCGGGGGAGGACTTGGACAGAATGAGTGACTCAGGAGGGGACAAGACCATGGATGGGGACCCTGAGGGGGTCTGGAGTCCAGACATCGAGCAGAGCTTCCAGGAGGCCCTAGCCATATACCCGCCTTGTGGGAGGAGGAAGATTATTCTCTCAGATGAAGGGAAGATGTACGGTGAGTGACTTCAGGTCTTCTCTGAAAAAACAGCCGGCGGCCTACACACTAAATGATTATTCTCAGTAACTTTCTTTACAATGAATACAGCACGATTATAAAGTGTTTTAGGTGTGGAGCAACCTGGATGTTTCAGGTTTTACACAGAAAGATGAAGAGTTGCGCCACATAGAGGCAAATATCTCCAGTTTTTTTTTTGTGTGTGTTTTTGTCACGTTGTGTTGTAACCGGAGCATTAAATCCATGTAATCTGAGATAAACACGAGCATTGATTGGTTGGTCGAGCTGTTGGATTGCGAGTGTCAGACGGTGAGAATAACGACGCAGACGGCTGCGATGGAAGGTTGTCTCACCGCGCATCAAGTGTCAGAGACGCAGGGAAGCAGCATAAGCTGTAAGAGGGAGGGAACAAGCATGCTATATGTGCAGTGTGTGTGTGTGTGACAGAAGAGGGAGAGTATGTGTGTGCGCGCTCTAATAGAGTGATGAACAGATGGTCCTCTGGCTGCCACCAGCTGCGTCCCCCTTCGACTCTCTTTCACCGTTTTTTCTTTTTTCTCCTCTTTTCTTCTCTCAGCCACAGATTTCTTTATGGTTGGAGTCCTTTGAATTTGTATTTTATCCTGAGTCATACACACTAGGGTCTGAATCTTGATGGACTTAACACATTATTACATGGTGGCTCTGATATATAAATATGGTGAATAAAAGGTTTGTTTTTTCCCTGCAGCTTCAGTGAGGTCTGGCTCTTTTTCTTGGGTGGCTCAAAGTCCGAGATCCACTGCATCCTCACGGATAAATTCAGGGTTTTGCGCAGGAAAAGCTAGCAAGAATTTTTGTATTTAATTAACCAGAGATTGCAGTATATGTGAAACGTGCTTCTTTAAGGGTCTGCGTCAATATACCGTAACAAAAAAAAGAATATTAGAAAGCATTTAGGCTGGTTGATGCAACCTTTAGAAAACATGACGGCTAAAGGCTTGACTTTGCTTTTGCTTTTTATAGATACAATGATCTTATACTTAGAATAGAATAGAAACAGCCTTTATTGTCCCACGGATGGGAAATTCAAGTGTAACAGCAGCAACAGATAAAAAGATTTCACACAAAAGTTCCTAAATGTTAATAAACAATACAATATATAAAGAAATAAGATAAACAGTATTGATAATAATGTTCAATGTGTATTGGAACATTGATAAGGACAGACTATTTACAATACAGTAGTATAGGCAGAGTGTATTTTAGCAGAGGTCAGCATGATACTTAAGCCTAGATTTTGTTTGGACCTGTTTGTGGCTATTTATGATCCTAACTGTAGTCAGAGCTACAGGTTGAAATTGCTAACTACTTTAGACGCTTTAATGTATTTTTACTAGGGATGCACGATATTATCGGCATGGTATCGGTATCAGCCGATATTAGCGTTAAAATTCAATATCAGACATCGATCATTCCATTAAATAACTCGCCGATATAAAGGGCGCTGTTTTTGCCTGCAGTGGCAGCACAACATGATGACGTCACGTGCGCCTACGTTGAGCCTCGCTACATCGTCCCCAGTCTGAGATATTTTTCCGACGTAACGTTGCCAGAGTTACAAGCCGTCATTTCCGACGTCATTGAGAAGCTAATAGCCGATAGCACGACTTGTTGGGTGAGCTTTACCACAGACATTTGGACGTTGTGTTAGCCCCGTTAGCATGATTAGTCTTGCGGCACAGTGGATAGACATAAACTTTGAACTTAAAAAGTCTGTCCTTCATGCACAAGAGGGCAGAGGTTCCCACACTGCAGCTAGGAACCTGGAACAAACCTCCACAAGTGAGACAACATCACAGGTGACTAATGCTAATAAATAACATTTAACACTTTTCATTTAATATAAGTTGAAGCGCTATGCATATGATATGGCTGTTACTGAATATATGTCACCAGCTCTTACAACTGTTGCACAATTTTTGTAGCAAATAAGCCTAAATAAGAGGGCTATGTTCTGACAAAGGAACGTATATAAAATATCGATATCGGCATCGGTTATCGACCAAATAATTTTTAACATATCGGCATATCGGACAATAATCCAATATCGTGCATCCCTAATTTTTACCACCTTCATCATGGTAGGAAGGGTAAAAATGACTGTTTTTAGGTTGTGTAGAGTGGAAAAAAATGTGATTAACTAGGCCTGTCGCAGCAAATCAAACTCCGGTGCTCTTCACTGACCCTTCCCTTTCTCTTTTATTTAAAATCCATTTAACCGTCCAAAATCGCGGTTTTGGATCGTTAAAAGCAGCTAAGCTGAGAAGCTATTAAAAGCTTTTCGTGAAAAATACTACGCTAAAGAGCTCAAACTTAGAGTGGCCAACTTTTGTAATTCATGGCTTATTATCTTGTGCACGTCTTGCAAAACTGTATTCTAGGCCGTGCACATTATTTTGTTACTCATCACATTGTACTCACCTCAGCACCTGCCACCAGATTTAGGATTTATCCCACTGGAGTAAACCCTAAAACTGTAGATGGGCTGATTTGGACCAGTTGTTTATTTTTTTTTACATATGATCCACATGGTTCTTAGATCTGGATTTTGGGGGTTAAAGTCTTGGTGTTTCTGTTCTGAGGAGAGATCCCATTCAGGTGTCTTAAGTGCTATAGAATTACAGAGAGTGTCCAGAGAAGTGTTAGACAGGCTTGAGATGCCTGAGACAACTCTGTGTCTATATTGAGTAAATATTTGTTGCACAAATGTATTTAAAATTCTGGTGACAGGTCTTCAAGCCTTGGTGAGAACCCCTGGGAAGGTTTTGAGACATTTTGCAATGTTCACCAACAATCATTGCCCAGGGAGACAGGTTTTAGGCAAGCACTGCATTAAGAACCTTAAACAAATGCAGTAAATTCACATAACTTACTTCATAATGACTTTTATTGATGTTACAACAAGAACAAACTCCTCCGTGGCTGTCCTGAATCTAAGTTCTGGACCAAAGTGGTCAACAATGCGTGCCGTTCTGTTTTTACTATTTAGTTCCCAACTTGGTTTTAAGTGTTGTTTGTTGAATTACATCAAAATATTTTAACCAAAAACAAATTCTCAGCGATTTTTGAGAATACAGTAGTCCCTCGTTTATCGCGGGGTATCCATAGTCTGTACCCTGAAGCCCCCTGATAAGTGAAAAACCGCAAAGTAGTAATAGTAGAACAAGCAGTAAATAGTTGTTTATTTTAGTATATATATATGTGTGTGTGTGTGTGTTGTTTTAAACCCTTCCCACACTCTTGCAATATTCTAAACAATGTTTCTAAACTCTAAACGCTGTAAAAGAGCACAGAATGTCATGATTTCAGCTCTCTGCCTCATCTGCTCTTTGTCACTTGCAAGCGTTCTTGGCCACGCCCACTTCTCCATTCTGCACGGAGAACAGCTGATCAGCTGCAGCAGGAAGTTTATCCTGCGGTATGGGCTGCACACGTGTGCAGCAGGTGCTACATAATGTAAAATAATTTATTTTAAATAAAAATTCCATGGCGATCGTGCGGCTCATCCATCAATCAGCCAGTTGTGTGTCAGGTCCAATCCTATTTTGAAAAACCGCAATAGAGCAAGTCTGCGATAAACGAATCGTGAAGTAACGAAGGACTACTCTGTACATTTAAAGAAGTGACACATAGATTAAAATTTTCATTTACCCAAGTAAGTCACTTTCCTTTTAAGAATTTAGAACAAACTGGCTAAAACAAATGCAAAGCCCAACCTGGAACCTGTATTTAATTACTACCTTGTGGTCCCTGTTAAACTATAGCAGTACAAAAAAAAAAAAAGTTTCGTAATGTTTAAAGTACAGTTGGTGCTTTATTCTTGTTGTTAGCTCTAAATGTGATAAACAGGAATTTTAAAGTCAACAATCAAAGAAAAACGTAAACCAAGTGTCATTTGTAATGTTAAAGTTATCTTGTTGCCTTTTTGTCCCCCAGCGTGGAGCGAAAAGGGGGAATTGGAAATACCCTTCGTCCATCCGACCGTGCATGTTGTGATCATGAGAACTTGAAAAATAAATGAAGTACCAACTTCTATTTTGGTGTGTGGCTGCAAATATGTGTTAAAAAAAAGGTCCCTATCAAAAATTGGGTTGCCATGTCAAGATCCAAGATGGCCACCACTATTTTTTTGTGAACTGGCAACCCCACTCATTTAAAGAATCTATGCTTTCTAGTTTTTATATTGCTTAAAATTAGTTTCCCCAAATGATTGACTCAAAAGGGGAGGGGGGCTCTGGACTATGCTACGACTTTCCCTTAAAAATTCAATGCCTTCACCGGCCTATATGTACATGTATAACGTCTGTTTATGTTGCTTTGCTGTGGTAGGTTTTTTTGATGCCTCAAATCGTGCCCTGTCTAGGACATGGCGTGAGAGATCTTTTTTTTAATACCGTCTCTCCTCATGTTTTCTTCCCTTTTCTTATCTAAGCAAAATATTATTCTGAATAAGAATAAGAAGGCTGCACTGATTATTTTAGCCGCAGCTTCGTGCACTCCGCCCATCTTTCGGACGACTGTACATACATATTCCCGTTGTATCTCGGTGCAATGCCAATAAAGTTTATTCTGATTCTGAAAAATAAGCAACAAACTGACTTGCATTTTGGCACGTAGCTGCATCTAGGCGTAAGAACGGTCACTTGAAAATTCAGTTGCCACGTCAAAATCCAAGATGGCCACTGCCATATAAATATGTAAACCATCCATCTCTTGTTTGAGAAAACTGTGGTTTTTAGTTTTTTAATTGCTTAAATATAGTTTCCTCAGGGCAGCACGGTGGCGCAACTGGTAGAGCTGCTGCCTCTCAGCGAGCAGGTCCTTGGTTCAAACCCCGGTCCGGGGGCCTTTCTGGGTGGAGTTTGCATGTTCTCTCCGTGCATGCGTGGGTTTTCTCCGGGTACTCCGGTTTCCTCCCACAGACCAAAAACATGCATGTTAGGCTGATTGGTAACTCTAAATTGTCCCTAGGTGTGAGTGAGAGAGTGAATGGTTGTTTGTCTCGTTTGTCTCTATGTGGCCCTGTGATGGACTTGCGACCCGTCCAGGGTGTACCCCGCCCCTCGCACAGTGATTGCTGGACATGGGCACCAGCGACCCCCGTGACCCAAAATGGAATAAGCGGGTAAAGAAAATGGATGGATGGATGGATAGTTTCCTCAAATGATTGGGGTGGCCCTTGGGGTGGCCAAAGATTAATCTATAGTAGCCAAGGCCACCATTGGCCACCCCCTGGTTCTGCCATTGTGCCAGATGGTAGATAAAATCCTCTCTTCGTTCACCAGGATCAGTCACTCTGCGTTGTCTCAGACAAGCAAAAAATAATAAAAATAAAAACTACACAGTTTAAGTCCTACCCACCTGAATAAATCATCAAGTTTATTAAAGTTGTATTCCCTGTTCAATTCTAGTCCAGAAAAACTAATTTTGAAAACTACAAACATTCACCATTCAAACCCCTCGGTGACGGAGGACCGCTTGTTGTCTAGTTGTTGGTACCCTCGGAAACAAACTATAATCTGACGTGCCTGTTGGCCCTTCCTAACAGATTTAGGGTTGCTCAGCTTTAAGAGAAATTGTGGAAAGTTGGAAGCAAGGTATTTACTAGAATAAGTGGAATTTTACCGTAACATTAGGATTTTTTTACTAATCCATCGACAGCAGCCTCAGATAACAAATGTCCTCCTGTCAGGATTCATCAGGACACACCTTATTGGACATCATGTACACACTGATATTACAACTCCTGCTCCAGCTTCTTTGTGTTATTGATCAGCCACCAATCGATCGGTCTCACACTGCTTTCTGCCTTGGCGGCATGCTCAGCCCAGTTTTTTTTACCTTGTTGACTCCTGTGTCCAGGTTGTTGACACGTTTTAGCTCAGTGACCTAATCGAGTTGGACACTGTCTGTTTTCAGAGGCAGAGGAGGGGAAAAAGGTAAATGTCCAGAAGGGATGAGAGGCATTTAGTCTTGAAACCGACGAGGACTTTAAACGTTACCAAGATCATTTTTGCGAAGCAGCTTCATGAAGCGGGTTCGTTTGTTAATTTTGTGCTCACAGATCCATGCATGCTGTGCATTGGACTCATCTAAGATCACAAAAGCCTTGTTCTTTTGCATCTTGATTTATTTTTTTTTTTTTTTTTTTTGCTGTTCTGATCGAAGCATTGGAGTGTGCATGCAACCTCTGGTCACTTAACAATATAATTAATTTATTTGCTATTGGTAACCCTAATATTATTAACAATATTTTATGGTTTATTAGTCCTTACATTAAAGTAAAATAAGTGGCAATTGCCTAAAAAAAATCAGAAGAATTATATGAGTATTAAAAAAAGTCATGCATGAAAGCATGAAAAGCTCTAAAATGTCCTGCTAGATGCTGCGAAGACTAGAGGATGACATTTTTTCCCAGGAGTCCTGCGGATCACGGGATTCCCACAGGATTCCCGCAGGACAGGAGTCAACTTTATTCTAACTCACAGGATTGGGATGGGACAGGACGAAAAGTTAACAGGACCAGACATGAGCGGGAACCAACCAATAGGACAAAAAATTAAAATAAAATAAACTTTGGACAGATGCCGCTATTTTGTAGTTTTCTTTCAATAAGCCTTCACTCTAGAATACCAGACTTGCAATTCTCCAGTCTGTAAACACAAAGTAATATACAGTACATACAAAGGAATGGGTAGCAGATTAAATCAAATTCAATGTATTTCCTAAAGACTAAATGGAAGAGAGCGAAAAAAGCAGGAGCGGTACAGGAGTGGGAGTCATTCTGAATGGGAGCAGGAGTCATGTTACCAGGAGTGGGACAGGACAGGATTTTTTTTCTGTGGGACCAGGACAGGACAGGAGTGAAAATCCACTACCGTGTCATCCTCTACTGTGGACTTCAGAAAACCCACTGGACCAACACCAGCAGAGGACATGGACCCAAACGATCACTGACCGTGGAAACTCACTCTGGACTTGAAGCAACGTGGATTCTGGTCCTCTCCTCTCTTCCTCCAGACTCTGGGACCTTGTTTTCTAAATTACATGAACATTTAATCTGAAAAGAGGATGTTGGACCACCGAGCAACAGTCCAGTTGTTTTTCTCCTCAGCAGGTAAGACACTGACTTGTAGATCATGTCCAGGAGTTGATCAGGGTGTGACACCAAGAGTCAGGATCTGTCACTGCGCTGCCTTGGACATGCAAAAGACAAAAAAAAACCAAAACATCACTTGAATATTTTGCACCAAAAACATTGAGGTTTACCTGCATTCCCTGTTCAATTCCAGTTCAGAAAAACACTCATCTTGAAAACGACTACTATTTAAATCCCTTATCGCTTGTTTATTCGCAGTCATTTCCTGTGCTTTTCTCTCCCAGCGGGGTTGTAATTTATTACGTCTTTGCTTCTGGCTGCTTGATATTTAAACACACCTCAAACACCACAAGCTTAAAGGTGTAAAAGTGAATTAAAGACCTTATTGTGTGTGTGTGTGTGTGGGGGGGGGGGGGGGGCGGCCCCCAAAAAAAAAAAAAAAAAATATTTCAATCCAAGATTAACCAACCAGATGATCTAAAGTTCCAGTTCATGTGTTTTCATTGTTTTAGGGCAATTATCCTAATTGTAGTCTGAGCTGAGGGTTAAAGTCGCTCACAGGTTTCAGCCTCTTGGTGGTCTTCAGCGCATTTTTGCTATCTTCATCAAGGTCGAGATGGTAAAAAAAACTGGATTAGTTCACGTAAAGTGCAGTAAAAAAACACAACTGAGCCGTCAGCTGTTACGTCTCCCAAACCTCACGGATTTTCATAAAAACTAAAACAAGACTTTGTAAATTAGCCTCAAACAAATTCATATAACTTAGCACCTACAGCGCCTAATTGTCCTCACATATGATGCAACAGGCTTAACTCCTCCTCGGCTGTGCTAACGCCAGGCTCCCAGCCAGAGTTCGGTCCCTGGGGTCTGCTCAGGGTACTCAACGATACTCACCAATCAACTGCAGCCTTGCTGGCCAGGACGGTCATCGAGGCTTCGCCCTCATTTGAGCCATTCTGTGAAGCAGCTGAAGCTCTTAATCACTCTGCAAACGGATTCTGGAGATCAACGCCACGCTGTCGCAGCTTTACTTGAAACGCAAATTTTCTTCCTCTCTCTCAGAATACAAACGAGCTGAATTGCTTCACTTTGTCCGTCACTTAATTTTGCAACTTTAGCGCCACATCTCCTGTCGATTGCTGTATTTTTACTTAATTCATCAAACTGACTCGTGATTCTAGGCCTCTCTTGCGTTCTCAGACCTAAACGGAATGATTAAAATCACATTAGACGCATGTAACGTTCGTGTTCTGTTGTCTTCGTGAGTATCAGCTTTCACACAGAGCGGCCTTGGCTGCAAAGCAGAGGGGAGGGCGAGCGAGGCTTCTGTTCGTCACGCTTAATGACCATCTGACTTTGGCCTTGAAGTCTTCCACTGGAGAGAGGGAGGCAGCAGAAGGGAAGCCCATTCACCGCAAGAGGGACAGAGGAGGGGGTCAGAAAGGGAACAGCCACAAGAGAGGACGGATGGATGGTCCAAAAGAGGGGAGGGAGGGAAGTGTGTGCTGGAGAGGTTTTTTTTAGAGAGCGAGGGAGGGCGAGAGCGAGGGATGTGTGCCGCAGGGTTAGTGAAGGATGATAATTCACCGTTAAGCCTCCTAGAAAGACCAGCTGGCCCCTCTGGAGTCAGATGTCAGCCTCCGCAGCCAGGACTCACTCTGCGCGCCTGTGTGTGTGTTGGCGCTCATGCATGTATACACTTGGATGTGTGTGTGTGTGTGTGCACGTGCGTGTGCTGTCGTCAGTCGCAGCTTTTGACTGCTAGAAGGAAAACACCTGCATGGGGAGCTGTAGATTTTATCAGTGTAAGCTCCTTATCTTCGTGTCACTGGTACTGGTCAGAACACACACATATATACACACACACACATGCACACACACACACACACGCACACACAATTGCCATCTGCTAGTTAGTTAGGGCTATTGTTGTGAGCCATTTGGGTAGTGTGTAGTGGTTTGGCTTTGTGCAGATCTTGACCATCGGTTGGCCAGCTGGCCTGACTCTGCTTTTCCACTCGGCTGCAACAGAACCCGGGCCGAGCCAGAACTCGCACCAAACCGAACTGAGCGCCAAAGCTGCTTGTTAGCAAATACAATTACAGTCACATTACTTTGTTTCACAGATTATAGTCTATTCTTTTTAGTTTTGAACCACTCTGGGGTTGAAGTGTCCTGGCTGTGGAGGAGTTTCGATGAACTGAATTTTGTAACCGACGTGTGTAAACACACAAACACGACTCTGGGTTTTTTCTGTGCTCCTTCCCCCCCACTAATCTATACTAGCCAGGTCATGCTGAGTTTGCTGTGCTCCCTTGTGAATGGGCTGAATTATGCAGCATTGTAAGTGCGCGTGTGTGCATGTACGTGCGCACACATAAGCACGGGTACAGCTGGCCTGCTGGTTCCTTTAATCAGGGGACGGCCAGTCCGCATGAATGCCTGTATTGTTGGGTCATGTGTATTCAGGGCCATGATGTGTGTGTGTGTGTGTGTGTGTGTTTAAAACTCAACAGGGGTATCAGTGATTACAGCGTTTCCATGAAAAAGTGCACGTCACAGGATCACTGGGTCAACAGCTTTTAATCAGACACTAAGTTGTTTGTCAGGGTCGTCTGATTTCTGCTCATGATTGTCTTTTAGAAAGAATGACAAATTCAGTGTGTGTGTGTGTGTGTGTGTGTGTGTGTTGTCATGAAAAAGGGGCTAAAAGTGTTTAATCTGTGTGTTTTGTGTTTTCCTCCAGGTCGAAACGAGCTGATAGCCAGATACATCAAATTGCGAACAGGGAAGACGCGGACGAGGAAACAGGTGATGATGGAGTTTTAAATCTGATGTTTCCTGAGAGTCCCTGCTGCTTCAAACACACACACTCTGCCATGATGCAACCAACACATCAGTTCATCCATTCATTCATCAGTTCATCCATCATTTCATCCATCTATCCATAATTTCATCAATCCAGCAGCCATCCCAACATTCATCCATTCATCCCACCATTCATCAGTTCATCATCCATTCATCCCATTGTTCATCATTCATCCATTCATCCATCCCACCTTCAGTTCATCCTTCTGTTCATCCCACCATTCATCAGTTCATCCATCCATTTATCCCACTGTTCATCAGTTCATTCATCACTTCATCCATCCATCCATCCATCCATCCACCTATCAGTTCATCCATCCACCCATCCATTATCAATTCATCCATCATCATTTCATCAATTCATCCATGAATTCATCCATCCATCCATCCATCCATCCATCCATCCATCCATCCATCATTTCATCAGTTCATCTATCCATCAATTAGGTCATCTGCCATCCATCCATTCATTTTTT